GCTTAAGTGTGAAGAAGCATCTCTGTATGGAGAGATGCTTTGTAGCAATAATTTACATTACAAATCCCTCTGTGTACTTCCCTGGTCACTTAGATTTCAATACTTAGAGGAGAGTGGTGAAGCCTGAGGCAACACATGTAAAACTTCACATCAAACTTCATGTAAACTTCAGAAAACATCTGCATGATTAAGATTTAGAGAGCACACTAACATTCTGTTTTTGAAGTTCATGGATTGCATAAAATTTAAAGTAAAATTCAAACTAAAACCTCTAAACTAAAGTTCTCAGAGTGTCTGCTCCTCTCTCTGTCTTTGTCTCCTCAACAGGATCAGTTGTAGTGAATGTGACTCAGACCTCCTGTCAGGCAGAGGAGAACCACAACATCACACTGGAGTGGACGTTCACAGTAGAAACAGGCAGATATCTAAACATCTACTGTGAACTGATAACTGATGATAAACTCTCACTCCTGTATCATGTCCATAATGGTGCTGAAGTCTCAGAGTCTCAGGATAAAAAGTTTTCAGGGCGAGTTCAGGGTGACAAAGACGCCCTCAGAGAAGGACGAATCAGACTCCAGCTGTGCAAACTCAGGACTGAGGACTCGGGTCAATACAAGTGTAAAGTAAACACAGATCATGGCTTCAGCTCTGCGAGCTGCAGACTCAACGTCACTGGTAAGTTTTAACAAGTCAAAACTGAACAATCACTTTTATATTTATGGTCTGTTCAACTTTTATGTGCAATGATTGTGATTTATGACTGAAAAACATGATGTGTTCTTCATGTCAAACATCCTGATGGTTCTCATTTTATTTCTGCACAAGTAGATATTTTCATGTCTTTTACAGCAGCTGCTGAGCAGAGATCAACTTCACCACCACAAGAAGAGAGAAAAGACTGGAAGAATATTTTAATTTTCCTGACAGCAGCAGCAGCATTATTAACTCTGCTGATGTGGAATTTATTTTCGGTCGTGCTGAGAAAGAAACGAGAGAGACCAAACTTCTATGCACCTCTAAACTCTCAGGGACAGACTCTATAAACCAAGATACTCCCTGCCTTTGACGTCTGCTTTAAGTATAACAAGTTAGTTGTTGATATGAACTGTAAATTACCTTAATTTCTTTTTAAATTTACTTTTGCTTTTGTAATTTACCTTAATTTTAATTGTCTTGACAACAGCATCAGTATTTTTCCCAGTCAGTATTTTGCTGATGGTTTTCACTTTACTTTGGGAACTTTTTTCTAAACACAGTCCAAACTTCTGTCCAGCTTCTATCAGCAAAAGAGTCACCATGTGGGTACATGTGGGTTCAGGGGTCATATGAGTTTACATGTGTTTAATAGAGTTTTATTTAATGAAACCATTATGTGTTTTAATTAAACTATTTTTAAAAGGATTGTATAGGTCTCAGAGCTCAGTTATTTAGACATAGATGATTTAATTTAACTAGTTTAGGGGTATTTTAACTAGTGAGGATCATTTTGCTTTTTCTTTAGTGCTCTGAAACACACAGAGGCTAATAGTTTTCAAACAGAGTGCCACAAACAACATGTATACCTTTAGAAATAAACCGGGATACTTCTAAAAGCACATATTCACACCTAGCCACACTAGCACTGTATCAACCCCCAATGTTCCTTTAATGCAACTAGCCCTATAGTTATCTACTAGTCACAAACACACTGCAACAGTAAGACTTGTTGATCACACATGGATGATTTAACTACTTTAGGAGCATTTTACTTTTTTCTTTAGTGCTCCGAAAAGACACAGAGGCTAATAGTTTTAAATAGAGTACCACAAACAACAACAGGTATTCCTTTAGAAGTAAACTTTTCTTGTGATACTTCTAAAACCACATATTCTTAACTCTGCAACAGTTAGACAGAGTGGGTTACAGTTAGGCCCCCAACAGTCAGCAAAACAATTCATAAAACAATAAAAGAGGCTCCCTTTACCAAGAGCATCCCAGCACACATCCCAACTGTAGTTCCATATGTTAGGTTTTGTATTGTTGATTGTCATTTATGCTTAGAAATATTTAACCATATATGCTTAGAGGTGTATAATCAATTGTGTAGTGACAGGATGTGTGATCTTTAGCAGGCCGCAAAGGCTTGGTGTGTATTCCACACTGGAATGCACACCTACATCCTGAAGAGGTCGTACCTCGTTTAATTGTTTTATGGGAGGATAAACGTGGCTGTATCTCTTTTAGGTTAAGTGCCTTTTGTTTAGATGGACTGTTGGATTTTCCAGACCAGCAGGTTTAGGGAAGTCGTTTATGGGTTCACACTCTGACCCCCCCCCCCCCCCCCCCCCCCCCCACACACACACACACACACACACAGTATTCTTTGTTCACATGTATACCTATGTAAGATGTTATATGTTAATGACCCTATGCATATTCATGTAACCACAATAAAAGGAGTGCTATGGGGGACCTGGCTGGGAGTCTGACAGAGGTCAAGTGGTGGGACGACGCTTGGCTCCAGGCAGGTCTCCCTCATGCATGAGTAAACCAGAGAACTTTGGTGCCTTGTGTCTTGCTTTTTGCTACGTAGCAAATTGTCCTTAACGTTCCAGCGAATAGGTTCAAGCTACAAACCTATCACCATAGTTTCCACATTTTTAATTACAAACAGTTCCATTATCTTATCCTATCATGTCAGAGGTCAACTGAAACCATGTCCAACTGAACCTCCAAAGGTTTTTCACATCTTCTTACACCCCACACCTTTATCTCTGCAGGCTGACAATTACACCTCCTACTGACTAACCGAACCACCATAGTTTTTCCACCTTTCTCTTTACAACCTCCTCTTTATATCAGCATCTCAGAACCCAACTGAAACCAAGTCCACCTATATAAAAACACCCCATCACACACACAGTATTTTCATCAGCACTTCACAACTGCCGCAAGGTATATCTTTTTAACTTTTTATTTTTTCAGATCCCAGACACAGCGGTGTGAGGTAGTTAGCACACAATTTGGTAATGTAGAAAGCATCGTTTGTTTGGAACACATCAGCAGAGAGGTAGAATTCATAGCTGTTCATAAGAGTTTAATTTAATCAAACCTCATTTTACGGAGCTAAGTGGCTCCTCATCACTAGCCAATTCACCATTTTATTTAAATGTCTGAAATTTCGGAATGAGGATCCAAGCGGGACACAGAGGCTGCTAGTTTTAACGCACCAGGATGCAAATATAAATAAAAGCCTCACTATCCTGAGAGCCTAGCTGCAGCGACACCTTTCTTTCACACGGATTCCTGGATGTGCATTGAGCCGACTTTGTTACCCGCACAGAGCATTTCTGACAGTCGGGAGCTGCTTATCCTCCTGACTACCAGCAATGCACAACTGTCCTCTGTAGAGCACCTTTCTAAACCTGAATATCTCCCATGCAATGCATACTACAGAATTGCCTCCTTTTGGTATCTACAGATACCAAAAAAAAAAAAAAAAAAAAAAAAAAAAAAAAAAAAAAAAAAAATTTATATATATATATATATATATAAAGTCACCCTGCAACATTCACAAAGGGCAAGGGATTCTGGTAGTGATGGGCAGATGAAGCCTCATGAAGCACTGAAGCTTTTCATCCAATTGGTTCACCCCAACGCGAAGCTTCTTGAAGCTTCATTTGCTCTAGTAGGACACCTACTGGACGTAAAAATATTAGTTGGCATGAATTTGAAGAGTGTGGCATTTTGCACACAGCCTGTAAATGTCAACAACAAAAGTAGTGTGTAAAACATGTATATTGTAGTGATGGCAGTATACTGTGTATATTTATACTGGCAGTATGGAAAATGATTATTTGCGGCAAAGTTCGAACCGCTTCCTGAACCAGTCACGTGGTACAACCGGGCAGCGAGGCTTCGGACGTCATCATTTTCAGCTCCTCCCATAAATGAAGCAAGCCTCGATACGCGCTTCACGGAAACGCCCCCTCCATTACTCGACACACGCTCCGAAGCCTCGATACAGAACGTCACATCACTAGATTCTGGGTAATCCTCAGAATAATGGAGGATTCCTGCGAGGTAAGGAATGCGCAAATGTCGTGGGGAGTGTGGAGCAGGGAAATTATTTTACTGCTATTGTTAAATAATCATCATTATTACCATTGCATTAATAATATAATCTGTAGTTTATATTGCATTCAGAGGTTGAACAGTGTGTCTTTCAGAAAAGGCTAAAAGTCACAGGCTGACAGGAAACAGGCTTGCAGAGAGTTTGCAGAAGTGAAACCAGTCTTAGGTTATTTTGAGCAGCAGGCCAGACGAGGCCATTTGAATTACTAGGTTATTCAAATTGATCATTGCTTTAACAATGTAACAGATAGCTTTAAGAAGGCTTTAAGGTTTTATGCATACAGGTATTAAATTAACTTTGTATTCCAGGTGCAGTTATAACTATTTTATACATATTGCATATCTGTGCTTATTTGAGTTGATGTTCAGGTTCATTAATGGTCTAAAGCTTCACTAGTGAGAGTGTCTAGATGATCCATGCTGAGGGAAAACTAGAACATAGAAGGAATTGCAATACATGCTTACAAAACATTTATATCAGGTCATTTTATATTAAGGTTTCATTAGAGGTTTTTGATTAGAACATTTATTTAGCAGATGACATATACATAGTCTCAGTGAGCCTCTGGTCTGGTAAAAGGTCAGAAGTGCGAGAGGTGACATAGAGGCTGAGTGAGGTCGTGACACACACACTTTTAGTTAGATTTATTTAGAGGAGAGTTTAGTCATGTCTGGCTGTAACTGCAAAATTGTCTCGGTAAAAGAGGAACCGTTCCTTGTTGTCTCGGCAAGAAAGAGGAACAAGACAAGAACTGAAAGGTAGACAGGAAGTGCCAGCCATGAAAATAGAAGATGATGTTCTTTCGAACGGTGGTAAAAGTCATTGTGGTGTTGATCTGATCTATGTATAAAATGTATCTGTGACGTTAAAGGGGCGTCATTAAATTTAAGCCCTGACAGTATAAAAATCTGTGTATGCTTTGAGTAAGTCGAAGACCACTTGCTGTCTGCGCACAGAGTGTTCTTCCCACACGTGTGTATTCATTAAAAATCATTGTTTGACCAAGAGCTTCTGGACCAAGGGTGGTTTGTACTCTCCTTCCTCAATTTTTGAACCTTAACAGGAGGAAAAATCATATCGCAGGCTGTTAAAGTAATACAGTCTGACCCGATTATTTTTGTTGTTTATACATCATTTGTTGCAGGTCATTTCTCCAGTCTTTATGTTGAACTGAGTGCACGTTTATGTGAGATTTATTTATTGGGAGGAGAGGAAACAAAATGGGAGCATAGTTAGCTAACTCTGTTGTTGCTTTCCCGTTTAGATTTTGTGCCGATTGCCCACGACATTAAAAAGAGAGCATTCTAACCATTGCCTTTTTGTTGTGAATGCAGGTATGTGACTGTGCCACACTGTTTAGAGAATTTACATTGTTTCATGTACAGCTTTAAAATATATTTCTATATTCCTTTCATTAGGGAAATTTAACATGCAATGTTAATGGTGTTGAACTTTTTCTATTTTGGTTGTATAAATTTACCACTATATGATCACACTGCGAGTGGAAATGTAATCCTGAGAATAATGGAGGATTCCTGCGAGATTTTGTGCTGATTGCCCACGACATTAAAAAGAGAGCATTCTAACCATTGCCTTTTTGTTGTGAATGCAGATGAGAGAAGACACTACACAGAGGTCACACTAGCAACAAAAGCATTGATATATTGAAGAAAAAGAAATAGTGGAGAAAACAGAACAATAAAAGTTCAATAAACGAGATTAAATAACCCTAACCTTATTAACAATAGCACAAGACATCAAACTTTCTATAGAATAATTAAGAAATCAAATCAGGAACAATAAAACCCAACAGAAAGCCACAAAATAGCTATTTTCACTTATAATCCCAAGCTCTGTCAATTCTGGAACAATGACAAAACAATACAAATGAAAAATAAGAAAATGTTCAGATGAAGTGCAACATGTATGACAACAACTGACCCTTATGTTCGTTTATAGTCTTCTATCCATATCTAATGCACTTAAGGTAGTTTTTGAAAAAGTGAAGCTGCAGTCTGAATTCTGCATCATTTCTTCCAGGGTTTCTGAATTTCTTGTAGGTAGGATTACGGTTTCCGTCTGTTTTAGGTTGATGGTCAATTGTCACATCACCACATGAGGCAACCATCAAAGAGCCCATGCCGTCCATGAAGAACTCTAAAGTCAGAAAGAGAGATTTGCCATTTGACAAAAAAATCATACTGCAATTTTCAATGTAAACTGTTTTGAGATCTGGACTTACCTGAATGTGCTACTCGCTGGAGCTTCGGGTCAAATCTCACCCTCTGCATGGCATCTGTACGAGCCAGGAAGAAGTTGACCACTCCACTGGCCAAATGGCATTGTGGGTAACTAGGAAGGGAATGGAATTTCCCACCAGACTTCCTGTAGAGGCAGCCACCTTCGTTTTCATCTCCTTCCTCATACAGAATAGAAAAGTGAACCTTGCACCCTTGCACTAACCCACCAACCTAATTAGAGAAAAACCAAACAACTCATTATAAAGTCAACCCTAAACAGATGTAACAGATGTTCAAAACTGGTGACTGAGAAGAATAATCTTAAATTACTTTTGAAAACAAAAGACCATCTCAGTTTGTTACATACTCAGCTCGCTTCCTCTTTTCCCCTTCCTTTTTAACTCATTAAGTGTACAGTATCACCTGTAAAAATACCATCCCATCCCCTTCACCCTAATTCTTGAATCTTGAAAATAATTTTTCTCTGTGTTGGTTAGAATTGTTAGTTTTTGCCACCTGAATACAAAAACCTAGGTGAACAACAAAGGCTGCATATTCTAAAAGTACAACGTTGGGGTCATCAGCCTACTACTGTAGCTGTTACAGTTCTACTTAAACGCGTTAAAACAAACTGAACGATCCAACACAAGCTATTTTATCCTTACCATATCTAGTTCTGGGACTGCCTCCATCACCTCCACAAGTTTCTCTATCTTTGTCTTCTCAGAAAACAAAAAGTCGTCATCCACCCACAAGAAGTACTTGGTGGTAACCTGCGACACAGCCAGATTTCTGCCTGCAAACCAGCCCTGAGGGGGAAAAAAAAACCCCATCCCAAATTCATATATCGGAATGGTACCTGGTTTGATGGTTTGACTGAAATTGTACTTGATAAATCTTCCATAAATTGAATCGACAATTGCATATCTAATATTCTATAAATGTAATTTTAGTCCAAAATATTGCTAAATACTCATAAATCATGAAATTATTGCATGTGCATACCTGTGCTGGAGGCATGATGTAATGCTGGATGTTTTCTCCAGTAATGCTCTCTGGTTCTAAGCTGTCATCTGCAATAATCACTTTTATGTTACTATAGAATTTCCGGATGCTATCCAACAACACCCTCAGTTGTTTGTAGCGCAGGAAGGTCTTTGTGACAATGGTAACTTGAGAGCTGATATCTAACAAACAGAAGTATACAGAGAATATTGTTATAAATGATGGATTACTAGTAATGGCACCGAGTAGCATTAGATTTCTGAATCATTCAAACTACCGTATTTTCACGACCATAAGGCGCACTTAAAAGTCTTAGATTTTCTTCAAAAAGTACGGCGCGCCCTATAGCGCAGTGCGCCCTGTGTGTTGTAAGGAGGACGTAGTAGAGAACACCATGAGAACGGTAAACGGTGAAGTGTGGGGGCAACCCTGAAAATGGCAAAGAGACACGCTTATGAAGCACAGTTTAAACTGAAGGCCATCAGCTACGCGGAGGAACATGGAAATCGAGCAGCGGCGAGAGAATTTAAGATTAACGAATCGATGGTTCGCAAATGGAGGAAGCTAGAAAACAAGCTCCGGCAGGTCAAGAAAACGCAGCTGAGTTTCCGCGGACATAAGGCGAGGTGGCCCGAGTTGGAGGAAAGACTCGAGCGGTGGATCATCGAGCAAAGAACGAGTGGGAGAAGCGTTTCGACGGTCACCATTCGGCTAAAAGCAGTTTCACTTTCACTTTTTATGAAACGGTGCCATTTTTCCATCCGGACCAGGACTACGGTAGCGCAGCAACTTCCAGCGGATTATAAGGAAAAGCTGGCCATCTTACGCTCCTACTGCAGCAAACACATCGGCGACAAAAACATCCAGCCCAGCCACATCACAAACATGGACGAGGTCCCGCTCACTTTTGACATCCCGGTGAGTCACACTGTGGAGAAGAAGGGGACCAGCATGCTAGCGATACGCACAACGGGGCACAAAAAGTCTTCTTTTACTGTTGTGCTTGGCTGCCATGCTAATGGACAGAAACTGCCGCCTATGGTGATTTTTAAGAGAAAGACTTTGCCTAAAGAGAAGTTTCCAGCAGGAATCATCATTAAGGCAAATGAAAAGGGCTGGATGGATGAGGAAATGATGAAAGAGTGGCTGAGGGAGGTGTATGTAAGGTGCGCACACTGACGTCAGTGCGCACACTGTGTCTGAGGAGGATGTGCGGAGGTGCTTCAGGAAGGTGAACGCACGCAAAGCTACTGGTCCGGACGGGATTCCTCAAGTCATGCGCGGCTCAGCTGGCTGGAGTGTTCACGCACATCTTCAACCTTTCCCTCTCTCTGTCTGTAGTCCCAGCCTGCTTCAAAATGGCCACCATCGTCCCTGTACCCAAATCCTCCACCATCTCCTCATTGAACGACTGGCGACCTGTAGCCCTGACCCCCATCGTAAGCAAATGCTTCGAGAAGCTGGTCAGGGACTTCATCTGCTCTGCACTACCCGACTCACTGGACCCTCTACAGTTTGCATACCGCCACAACAGGTCCACTGATGATGCCTAGCCCTGACACTACACACTGCCCTGTCACACCTGGAGAAGAGAGACACGTATGTGAGGATGCTGTTTGTAGATTACAGCTCAGCATTCAATACCATCGTTCCCTCGAAGCTGGACAGGAAACTGCAGGATCTAGGACTGAGCAGCTCCCTCTGCAGCTGGATCCTTAGCTTCCTGTCTGACAGACGCCAGGTGGTCAGACTGGGCAGCATCACCTCATCCCCATCACACTGAACACTGGTGCTCCACAGGGGTGTGTACTGAGCCCTCTCCTGTACTCACTCTACACCTACGACTGTATGGCCACTAACAACTCCAACATCATTGTGAAGTTTGCGGACGACACTACAGTGGTGGGTCTTATCACCAACGGTGATGAGACGGCTTACAGGGAGGAGGTCAGCGCCCTGACCCACTGGTGTCAAGACAACCATCTCACCCTCAACGTCGCAAAGACAAAGGAGTTGATAGTGGACTTCCGGAGGTGCAGAGAAGTACACACCCCCATCACCATCAACGGCGCTGCTGTGGAGAGAGTGAGCAGCTTCCGGTTCCTTGGCGTACACCTGGCTGAGGATCTTACGTGGTCAGTACACACAAACAAAACAGTGAAGAAGGCCCAGCAGCGCCTCTTCTTTCTCAGGAGACTGAAAAGATTCGGCATGAGCCCCGCATCCTCAGGACCTTCTATCACTGTGCCATTGAGAGCATCCTCACTGGATGCATCACCACCTGGTATGGCAACAGCACCGCCTACAACTGCAAGCTCTCCAGCGAGTAGTGCGGTGCTCTGAACGGATAATTGGAGGTGAGCTTCCTTCCCTCCAAGACATCTACAGGAAGCGGTGCCTGAGGAAAGCGGGGAGGATCATCAAGGACTCCAGTCACCCCAGCCATAAACTGTTCAGACTGCTTCCATCAGGAAGGAGGTTCTGCAGCATCCGGTCCCGTACCAGCAGACTGAGAGACAGCTTTTTCCATCAGGCCATCAGACTGCTGAACACGTCATAGACACCTCAGCTTCACTACTGGAACTTCAACATTATGCACTGTATATAAATGCCACTTGTTTTGCACATATTCAACTCTGTATATTTTATAATTATTATTTTTATTATTATTATTTTATTTTATTTTTTTACTATTTAATTTGTAAAAATGTGTATACACACACACACACACACACACAGAGGAAAATATTTAGTATACACATCCAGAAATGCATACACTATTATATATTGTACATATGTTTATTAGTTTCAGGTTGGCCATTCTTGTATTTTGCTCGTTTGTGTTGTTGTGTTTGCACATCTCTGTTGCTTGTGGGGCTCGCACACAAGAATTTCACTCGCATGTGCTGTGCCAGTGTGCCTGCACATGTGATGTGACAATAAAAAAAAAAAGAAAAAGTGATTTGATGTATTTAAAATACAAAATATCAGTAACTGTATTCCATTACAGTTACCGTTTAAAAAGGCGATATTCAGAATACAGTTACTTTGTTGACAAAATAGTTGGTAACCTTTGGTCAATCAAAAAACTCACAATGGTCAAAGAAATAACTTTAATCTGACAAAACTAATAATAAATAAAAATTCTATAAATATTAAACAATGAAAGTCAAACCCTGCTTTTAAACCTGTCATGATCCTTGGTCATTTTGACCCAGCGTTTTGTGTTTCCTTTGGATTTCACCATGTGTTTTGTGTTAATTCTGATTTTGTATTAGTTTAGGGTTGAACCTGGAGTTTATTGTTTTATCAGCCTTACCTGTGTCTGTCCTCTTTGCGCTGTTCGTGTCCCTGTGTTTGTGTTGTAAAACAGACTGTGTGTTTCCTGTTTTACTTTGAAGGCTTGTGTCTCATCTGGTGAATTAGGTTCAGCTGTGTTCCCCTCCTGTGTGCCATTCCCTCATTACCTTCTGTGTATTTATAGTGTGTGTCTGCCTGTGTCCCTCGTTGCATCGTCTGTGCTTCTCAGTAAATCCTCTGTGTGACTCCGTGTTAATTCAGTGTTTCTCCGCGTCTCTCTGCGTCTCTCTGCCCAGCCTTCTTCATCTGCCATCTCTGCATATCTCCCGGTGTCCTTATGTTTTCAGGTTTGTTTGTTAGTTTTCCTAGTTTAGGTTTATGTTCAATTCTGCCCTCACCTTTGTTATTTTCACTGTAAATCAAGCTCCACTCGCATCTCCACTGCCATCTGCATCTTGGATCCTCATTCATTCAACCACACGACTGCTGCCCCAGCCGTGACACAACCGCTGCCCCAGCCGTGACACAACCATGCTTCAAGTGAATTACTTAAAAAATAAATGCATGAAACAGGCCTGGACAAAAATGATGGTACCCCTAGAAAAGAATGGAAATAATGTGACCAAAGGGGCATGTTAATCCAAGGTGTGTCCACTAATCAGCATCACAGGTGTCTATTATCTTGTAATCAGTCAGTAGGCATATATATATAGGACTCCAGGTAATCACTGTGTTGTTTTGTGACATGGTGTGTACCAAACTCAACATGGACCAGAGGAAGCAAAAGAAAGATTTGTCTCAGGAGATTAGAAAGATGATCATAGACAAGCATGTTAAAGGTAAATGATATAAGACCATCTCTGAGCAGCTAGATGTTCCTGTGACTACAGGTGCACATGTTATTCAGAAATTTAAGATCCATGGGACCGTAGCCAACCTCCCTGGACGTGGCCGCAGGAGAAAATTGATGACAGATCAAAGAGACGGATAATCCAAATGGTAACAAAAAAGCCCAGGAAGACTTCTAAAGAGATCCAAGCTGAACTTCATGCGCAAGAAACATCAGTGCACCATTCGTCGCTTTTTGAGCCAAAGTGGGCTACATGGGAGACGACCAAGGAGGACACCATTGTTGAAAACAAATCATAAAAAAGCCAGACTGGAGTATGCCAAACTACATGTTGACATACCACAAATCTTCTGGGAGAATGCCCTGTGGACAGATGAGACCAAAATTGAACTTTTTGCCAAGGCACATCAGCTCTATGTTCACAGATGGAAAAAAGAAGCATATCAAGAAAAGAACACTGTCCCAACTGTGAAACATGGGGGAGGCTCGGTTATGTTCTGGGGCTGTTTTGCTGCATCTGGCACAGGGTGTCTTGAATCTGTGCAGGGTACAATGAAATCTCAAGACTATTAAGGGATTCTAGAGAGAAATGTGCTGGCCAGTGTCAGGAAGCTTGGTCTCAGTCGCAGGTCAACAGGACAATGACCCAAAACACACAGCTAAAAACACCCAAGAATGGCTAAAAAAAAAAAAAAAGCACGCATTAAGAGCCTCTAATGCCTGGATCTCAATCTCGTGGCCACTGTCACCTCTACTTGTGGCCAGCATAATGACGTGAAGAAATATTTTTAAAAATTATTATTCAAAAAATGATTTAATATGAAGGATCTTCAGGGAGTAACCATTTTTAGTAAGTTGGATTTGAGAAACGCTTACAATCTGGTCCGCATTCGCGAAGGCGATGAGTGGAAAACTGCCTTTAACACCCACCTGGGGCATTTCAAGTATTTGGTTATGCCCTTTGGCTTAACCAACGCCCCGGCAGTTTTTCAGGCATTAGTTAATAATGTGCTTCGGGATTTTATTAACCGCTTTGTTTTCGTCTACTTAGACGACATTCTGATCTTTTCAAAATCCCAGTCAGAACACAAAAACCACGTCAGGCAGGTTCTATAATGCCTCCTTGAGAATTGACTGTTTGTCAAGGGAGAAAAATGTGAATTCCATGTCTCCACGGACGAGAGCGACTGGGGTCAAGCGAAGGAACGGCGTTTGTCCGGTTCTCTCCCGTGCACGAGAAACATGAAGATCTTTGCCTACTCGTGTCTTGTTTTGCTGTGTAGCAAATTGTCCTTAACGTTCCAGCGAATAGGTTTGTAGCGTAAACCTATCACTCTGTGCCCTCCTTCCAGGCCCCCGCCTCCTGCCCAGCTTGTGGATGGCTTGCCCGCCTACTCGATCACCCGCATCATGGACTCACGTTGCCGGGGGCGTGGTGTTCAATACCTAGTGGATTGGGAGGGGTATGGCATGGAAGAGCGTTCTTGGGTCCCGCGAGCGGCCATTCTGGATAAGCGCATGCTGCTGGAGTTCCACCGTTCGCATCCGGGTAAGCGTGGTGGGTCGCCGGGAGGCTCCCGTTAAGGGAGGGGGTGGGGGGGTGGGGGGGGGGGTACTGTCTTGGTCCCCGTGCCTCACTGGCTGACTCTGTGTTTGGCAACATGTTTTGTTTGTTTTTCCTTCGCGCTCTCTCTCCTCTGCCGGGGCAGTGCTCATTACGGGCTCCCACCCCTGGCCCACGCACCTGTGCTCACAGTCACGCATGCAGCCGATCCCAGCTGATTTGGAGCACTATTTATGATGAAGGGCCTGTGTCATCCTTCGCTGGATCGTTGAGCCATCAGCGTCAGTCCCTCTGAACCTGAATCTGTATCTGAATCGGTATCTGTGAGTTTGAGACTATCCCTAACCTGGACTTGTTTCTCTGTGTGTATATAGGTCTGCCCTGGACCCGAGCGAGCGTGTGTTTGGAACCCACTGAGAGCGTGTATTGGATTAATCCCTGTTTCCCCCTGGACCCTGGAGCCCCGGACCCTTTCCCCCGCCGCACTGTATGTATATCCTCACCTGGTGTCTCACTGTAAATAAACGCACTTTCTCTTTGCCAAGGATACCTGGTCTGCACGTGAGTCCGTTTCAAACATTGTGACATAATTATTATATTCTTGTGGAGTTCCTACATCTTTAGGATGATATTTCTAACTAATCAGTTACTAGTTCTTAACTAAGCAAACTGTTTCAGGTGGAAACAACTAGGAATGAAGAAGAGTTTTGAGAGTATAGTGTTTGTTTGTTTGTTTGGTTGGTTTTTTGGGGGGAGAGGGTTCTACAAGTATAAGTTAATGAGAAAATGACAATGATGGAAGGAGACAATGATTCTGCCTCAACATAACTAATGTTCTCAATTGTATGCAATGATAAAAAAGATGCAAATAATAAAGAAGCGTTTAAATGAATATGGACTTGGCTTTTGACCCCTGATGAAGAGTACACTTCTACCTGTTCCCATGTCATACAGGACTGGTACATGAGGCTGCTGGATGGTAATGGGAAACACGGCTTCATAGTTTTCAAACTGGAAAGTGACTGAACACAAAAATAACATTTGTTTAGGTTCAGAACAAGCGGGACTCTTGTTTAAAGAAAAATAACAAAGAAGCAATTCAGGACTTATTCTTTCAGTTATTTTAAATATAACATACAGGACTCATACATTAATGCTAATGTAAAATGCACATGACATTTTGCAAATTCAATTGTCATTTAAAAATGTGGGTTATAGCTCTTCACATTTTTGACACATACCAAGGTCTCCAGTGTTTATATGGTAGATGGTGCTGGTATAGGACACTTTGGCCAGCAGGTCATTGAGGACCGACAAGGTGCTAGACTCAATAGTCAGTTTTGTCTCTCCAGAACCTGTGAATTCAAACCAAACAACTTTACATTAGCTTTAAAATGAAGTTTAATTCGTTATGGCTAAGTGCCAATAGATGTGACAAATTTACTTTATGTATATTCACAGTAATATAATACTGCTGGTAATTTCTCAGAAAGGACTTATAATATAACAGGAGTAGTCTTTAATTCAGAGTAATTTATTCTGACTAATTAGGAAAGTGGTTTTCCTAATTAAATTATTCACCCATCCATTCTCTTGTGCTTATCCTTATTGGGAGGTCAGGGTGGGTCGCCACTCTGTCGCAGGCCTAACACATACATACAGACAACTATTGGCACTCACATTCACAGGCAGTTTAGAATCACCAGTTAACCTAACCTCATTAACTGCATGTGTTTGGCTTCTGGGAGGAAGCCAGAGTATACAAGAGAACCAGTGAAAACACAGAGAGAACATGCAAACTCCGCACAAAAATACAGTAGGTGGAGATGAATTTAGGACCTTCTTGCTGTGATGCAACAGTGTTAAGTACCATGCTTCCATGCTGCCCAGTGCTGCCCAGCCAAAATACATTAGTTACTGATAATTGACAACGAGAATATGAAGTCCTGAACTTTACTAAATAAGATTCATGTAAAACCACCAATACTACGCTGATTGAGGAGACACAATGTCTGAAATTGTATGGACCTATGGAGGCAAGTTAAAGGGAAAACCATTATAACTTAAAGGGTGTAAAAAAAGAAAAAAGAAAAAAGTTTTGCAGGGTAGGATTTTTTTAAAAGGTGTCAAGATGCCTTGTAAGAAAAAGAATACATGTATATGTCTTTGTCTTCTAACTTTTATCAGTCTTTTGAGATTACAATTTTTCTTTTACACAGATGTTATGGAAAAAAAATTAAAAATGATCTAAAAAAAAGTAATATTGGCTAGCTTAATGTGTTACTGACAGGACTCACTCAAGTTAATCTGATCTTTGTGTTTAGTCAAGACTCTTGCCCATGCAAAAGATCACTCGTGTTTTGTGTTTGTTCAAGTCGAATTAGTCACTTGCCACAGTTTAAATTATTTGTAAATATCTCCAGATTGAATTAATTTTTTAACTGATTATTCTGCTTTGTTTTGCCTGGGTCCCGCACTTGAGTCATGTTTAAGGCTGGGTATCATCACTGATATCTAGAATTGATTAGATTCCGATTCACAAGGTCCTGAATAGTTTCGATCCACAATTTGATTCGATTCGATTGTAATCGGTGAAATTTTGCCTCAGTCAGAAATATTATAATTCTGATCAACTATCAGTACATTTCCATATTTTTATATGTATAAAAAGAAAGCTGACACTTGCAAGACTTAATCAAAGGTGTAAGCATCACAGCAGATGCCTTTGTGTCAAAAACACAGAAAAAGATGAAGGCGATCTTCCTGTCCTGGGATTTTATAGCAGATAACCTTAAAAATATTCTGCAATAGATCAAAAACGAAAGAAAGTCATTAACATTTGAACATTACCTGATTCTGCTGAACTGAAGCAGAGCAAAGTTACAGAGGTTTTGTTAGTGACACAGCTAAGCATTTTGCAATTTTGCATAATTTTAAAAAGTTAAAATATCTTCAGTAGCCTGTTGAATAGCATAAATGACGTTTTCTTTTCGGAAGTAAGTAAAAGAAAAAAAACTGTGGCCGACAGCGCTGTAAACAATGGTAGAAGCAGTAGTGGTTTTTGATACGGGCGACACGGTCGGTTGCCCAGGGCGGCATCGTGGGCATCGGCAAAAAAATAAAATTGTTCGTACTCATGCTGCCCCGACGTCAGCCAGCACATACTGAAGATGGCATAGGCACTGATCGGTTTTCTATCGCACATTTGCTGGGAGTAAGGACGCCCTCCGTTTGCGAGGTGCGCCTGCTGCTTGCGACACAGGGAGGAGAGGGCGGGGCTGCGGGGGATTCTCTGGCTGGCTGGAGCAGCATCTAATAACCAACTCG